AATCAGATTGCAAGGATAACCAGTGATTTCAAAATGGATTTAATAAAGAGAGTAATATACTGATATTAATACCTAAGGTGTTGCGGGAACGTACTTATTCCTTGCAACCTATGTTTAATGCAAACTTTCACAGTGTTAAATAGCCCACTTTTAGTTATACTTGAGAAAAATTACCTGTCTCTGACTTTATCTGCTAAGAAGAATTACGTGTCTCTGACTTTATCTGCTAAGAAGAATTACCTGTCTCTGACTTTATCTGCTAAGAAGGACACATACATGAAGTACTTACCATTCGAACGTGGTCCGTTATGTCTGCGGGCACATCAATATGCAGATCAAACAGGAAAACTATGTCATGCGCATTCGGCACTTGTTCAACCGCCTTGTTTAGAGCGAGAGTCTTGAAGAATTTTGCGACTTTGAAAGGGCATAGAAAATCGAGGATTCAACCAAATTCAAAAATTTCTTCGCCCAAATGCTTCGCATAAAGTCTAGATTCGTTTTAGCGAAAAAAAAATTTTGGGGTTAGGTGCACTTTAACATAAGATTCGCTTGCTGAGTCACGTAGTACTCTTGGATCAAGTTTCAACATTCTCGGAGCCTTTACATCGATGCAAAAAATTCCCTCAAGACTAATGAATGGGTGGCTCATCAGCAAACAGTAAAACCGCTTTTCAAACACCTTTATTTTCTTACTACTTCTACAATTATTGCTTCCATTAGGTAAACCCACATTAAACGATTACTACACTACAAGCATTTTCGGCCGTTCAATTGAAACCTCTATTGAAATCGTTGCCCCAAACTACATCTGACGTTTTCCGTTCCATTGATGTCCAACAGCAACACTCCCAGAACTACTTCCCAACACAACCCCAGTGCCAATGACAGATCTGACGTTTCCTGTTCCATTGATCTCCAACAGGAACATTCCCTGAGTTGGTTCCCTGTTGGCCAACATTGCCAGCGGGGGCGTCAAAGGTCATCTCACGTCGGCCAGACTCCTCCAGTTCTGAATATTACAATGAAATAAACCCACAGTTTTTCTTGAGCTTTAGGCTGGGGTGGGGGAGGGGGTGGGGAGGAGGTGGTGAAAGGATTTTTTTGTTATTCTTATTTTTTATTTATTTTTTTGTCAATACGAAGCATGCATGTCAAAAAGGAACTTTGAAATTCTCTCCTAGTCTCTATCACCGGTAAAACGAGCTTTCCCAGAAAAGGAGTATAGAATTTTTTTTAAAAAAACATACTGAATTGGCCAAACCGCACATACACAATTGAAAAGATATTGAAAATCGCATTGGCCTACCCCTTGATGGCCTTTTGAAGATCTTCTTGCCCTGTTTAAATTACTGTAACTAATATATAATTTTTCAAGGCAATAAATGATGAAATGATAGTGTTCTGGTTCGTTCAGTTTTGCTTCTGCACAACAAAAGGCACATTACAGCGGAATTAAATCTACAATTTTCCTTGAACATCGCCAGCCTTTTGACTATTCTTGTTAAAAGGAGCTCAAAACAAAACGTTTTACTGGTTATGTACAAAACAAAAAAAGATACCTTTAGGCAAATTAATACAATGAGATTCAGACTATTGCTCTGTGAAAAAGAGGATATTGAAAATGAATAAAACCCAGAGTTCCCTTTGCACATCGCGGGATTTTCAAAGTTGTTTACTTAAAAAGGAACTAAACAACAGCCATATGCATCGAAATCCGTGATTCGTACAGCGTGTACATATCTCTTTTCGTATCATCCTTATTATACATTAGCAAGGGAAATGATTAGCAAGTGTTACTATTTATTGTGTACCCAACGATAAAGTAAATACAGTGTCACTTTCAAAAATCCCATATGCATGAAGACGCCCACTAGCTATAGCAGTAAGATGATGCACATACCGGCCATCTGATTTTCCAGATCCTCAGGATCACGGTTAGCAGGTTGAGGAAGTGACATCGCCAGACCCAAAAAGATGAAGAAGAAAACAAAGCACTTCATATTCCTTCAAAGGAACGTAACATAAAATTAGTTTAATTCTTCAAGAAAACCAGAGAAAATGCTGCTTACAATATTTAACAACTGGGCGATCTATCAATTTGGTTATACATTGCTACAACAGTGGCTAGGGGCGGATCCAGGATTTCTCTTAGGAGTGGGATTCACCACTAAAGAATGGCATAACTGACTGGTGAGGTAAACAAATTTTAAAAGCTAATATGAAGAGGAAGGCTTCATCTCAGGGTGTACGCACCCCCTACACTCCGCCCCTGTGAATGGTAAATGCAAGAGTTTGTGAGAAAGTGAGACTGGTGTTTTTCTTTGCAAGTCCGAGACATTTTGACATTTTAAATTGCGAGACCGAAACTTTGAAGTTGTTTAATTGCGGCCGCGGGACGTTCATGATCAGACTCTCTAATTGCGTTCGACGAAGTGGAACGCAAACCTTATTTTTACCAATGGCTTTCCAGGGTTGGTTTCCCTGTGCACGGTTATAGGCCGAAAAAAACACATTCCTGTAAGGACACCAAAATGGCCACCCCGCTTGATTTTTGCAGGGGCATTTCACGTCCAGTAAACTGGTACCGTTTAATGCTAAGACATGTGATAAGACATGTGGCGAACATGTGAGTATGTGAGCAGGCCATGTGAGCTCGTCTTTCCAATGGATCTTTCCTTGACTTCTTTCCTTTCAGTCGCCGTACGCTTCGCTATTATGTGCTCTCAGCGTTAGACTTTGGCGAATTTTTAACGCTTCGACGGTAGCATTTATCGAAATCTGAGGGAATTGTCCTTGTTTATTAACACGACTTGGCTTTGGGATGATAACCGTGG